ATCCTGGCCATCACTGAACCTGGAAGTGATGTGTATTACATTGCTTCCAGTTTCAGTCTATCATTTCTTCGGCTGGTGTAGATGGCGAAGAATCTAGTGAAACTCAAGCTCTGCTTCATCAGCTTCTTTGGGGTCCCCAGGTGACATTAGGGGGTCCCGATGTCTCCATAAAGAGGACCTGTCACTGTATCTTTTCCATCACATAGGGGGCTTGTTGGCCATCTATTTGACAACATCTATAAAGTTAAGAAATTCTTCTTTATAAATAAATCTATGGTGGTCCTGAAAAATATTTTTAGTACAGGTGTATATTCTGAGTTACTGACTGAAGTATTAAATACTGCCTATAAATATTTCATATTTATCCTTTTGCAGTCAGCAAGTAACAAAGGGTAAGTCTGGTACTCCAAGGTTTGAGAATCCTGGCTTACTGCTGTGGTGAAAATACAGGCCTGAATATCAGAGAGGGTGCCCTCTGGATCCTCAGTCTGCAGGAGCAGCAAAGAGTCCAAAGTACTGGGCTCTGTTACCATACAACCCAGCATGCATTCCATTCCACACTCTAAAGCAGAGAATTGCCTTGTAAAAAAAAAAAAAATCTAAGATGTAAAATAGGGAATTTTTTAAACTAATAAAACATTGATTAAAAAATGTTTAGTTTATAAACATGACCAAAAACCACTACAGCTAGCCTTTAAATGTACAGTACAATATCAAGTGATTTTTTTTTTCTTCTGAAGCAAAAAAAAATGACAATTTAAGTTTTTGCTAAATAAATTTTTACTAGATTACAAATCGTGTTTTATATTTTGTATGTTATTTCAAGTGATGTTTTACAAAGACATTGTCAGCAAATTTGTGGCTACACACCTGGCAGGTTATTTATTGGTGTCAGAGTCAGACAATGAATATAACCACCTTACCTGTTTGCCCTCTGGAATGGAGACTTGAGGCAGATAAGAGTTTACAGCACGCCATTAAGATATAGACCAAAATGAGCCAGTGAGTTAGAAGCATTGAGTTGGCATAGAACCTCATCCTGGAAGGGGGACATAAAACAATGAATTTACTTCACGGCCAATCAATATATACAACAGTGTTCTATATGAAAAGTAACAAGGCATGTGAAGGAAGATAAGACCTTGGTGAGTCAGGAGACCTGGGAAGTTTTGTGCCAGCAGAAGGTTATGCAATGTTAGTGGAGGGACAGCAGCCAGCTTGGGGTACAGCAGAAAAAAGCATGCAAGGCAATACCCTGATTCACAACATAAAGGACTATTTTTAAAAGCTATTTTATTAAAATTGCAAAAAGACACGCTAGTGAAGTGTCAAATTAGGGCAAATTAAAGTGAATATAAACCCTAACCATGATCTTCTCTTTATGTTCCCTATTGGTCTGTACAAATAACCTCCAAAGGTATGTGAAGTTATGGAGGTGTTATGTAGATAATGAGAAGTGGAGGCGTTCTGTAGTCCTAACACACTGTACTAGAGTGACAACGCTGCTCCTCCTCCATAGATACAGTACAGTAAACAAGTATTGCCGCTCTAGGACAGGAGCGTCACTGGCAGGATCACCAAGTGAAAGTAATGTGAAAAGAGCCTGAAAAAAGCACTCGTAAGCTGTAATATATTACTGTAGCATGGCTGGCGACCCCTTTAAGTGGCGGGAGCCGCATGGCCTACAGGTACACAGTATCTTTCCTTTCTTACCTGCCATGATAGGGCAGTGCAGAAGGGACAGGAGAGGAGAAGAACCAAATTGGCTGCATCAGTGCTGCAGGGAGTGCAGGGAGATACATATTGATCTTTCATCTTTAATATTCTATAGCACATAGCCTAGGTAGCCCATCCAGCACCAGGAAAACCCTGAAATCAGGGCCAATAAAAGCTGCTAGTTCTGGCCCTTCCTGTGTTTTTTAAAGACTTCCATATCCTCTCCTGCTTCTCACCTACTCCAATTGGCCCACCACTATGAAGGGCGACGATAAAGGACAGTAGAAACAATGGGAAAAGCTTGCTTGTGGCAATATCATGAAGTATAGAAACCACATGGTGCCTACTTTGGACTACCATAGCCTCCTCAATGCCTTTATAGTACTGATAGGTTAACTTTAAAGCAGGGTGGATTTGATTTAAATCAAGTCGATTTAAATCATAATTTTTAAAGAGCAACTGTCATCTCTGTCCCGCAGCGGCTCCTCCTCTGACCATTCACTTTAATGGGATGGCTGGTGATGCGGCAGTGACACAACAAGGTGAGGGACCTGGCAGGCAGCAGGTGAGTGGATGCTCGCTAAGTGCTCTTTAAATGCAAGGACTCATTCTTGCTGGTAGTAAGAATCTTTAATAGTATTTGCAAACAAAATGAAGCTTTCCTATTTTAGAATAAAAAGCTGTCAGGTTAGTAAAACAGCGATATCAGAACCGATTTTAGGTTAATAGTTTATTCACACATGGTTGGAGAACTACTCAAATTGTTTTATTTAATTAAAACAATAACATTATGTTACATATTCTTGTATTTGCTTAAACATCAATGTTTAGTAATGCATCAATGCAGTGCATGTTATCTCAGCTTGCAGAGCTTGGATTCATTGAATGAGTTTACCAAAAATGTAAATATTGCAGAATATACAGCCTCATGCTACATAACTAAGCTCCATTTCATGCTGAATAAACTAAATTATTAATGCATCTTCAATAGAAAACTATCTTTAGATAGATTTTTACTCCAAAAGCATTTTATTAAAATAAATTGATAAAAATAAAAAAAATCTGATTTAAATTAAAAATATCTGATTCAAATTTTAAAAAATCCGATTTTTTTATTTAATTTTTTAAAAATCATTTGATTGTTATCCACCCTGCTTTAAAGTGACCCTTTTCCTTTGCACATGCATAAAGAAGTGAGGATCACTTAACTCCACCAACACCCATCAGCAGCATACAGTATACTCACCTTTTCTTCAATCCCTCCCCTGCTCCCTCCTGGGGGCGAGGATGGCGTCCTTAGACCAGTGTAAGTGCTGACAATTGGGTTTGAAACTTAATAATGGCTTTCCTCCAAATCCCAATGAGCAAACAGTGCAGTAGCAAGGAAAGGTAAGTATGTGTTGTGCGCCGGTAGTTAAGTGACCTTCTTACATTGCCCTGCATAGGCAAAAGAAAGGGTCACTTTAATGTGATGGGAAGCCTTATTGCACAGTTAGGGACTAGGCATGGAGTGGAGCCATACTCGAATTTTACAAAAAAGGTAACATTTTGCAGATTATTTTAGCTACCTTTTTTTCCACATCTTCTGATCATTTTTTACTGACTGCGGCCTGTGTTTATGTATTTTTTCCATCATGTATTGCTTGAACTACTTAGGTTTGTGGCAGATTTTCTGTAGTCTTAAATCTGACTGACGGCAGCTGCTAACAGGAGGTTCTCTAACAGCTATAGATGTATATTATTTGGCAATGCATGACGCTATCCTGCAGTGAATACAAACAACAATCTTCCAGCCGCAATAGACGCAACCCCTATCCAGTCTGTCACACCAGAGAATCCATCTCCTTCACCACCTCTGAATCTACAGTTCCCGAAATTTCTTACCTTAGGGGCTTTGCAAGAATTTTATTCCAGTCAAACACAATTATTTTTGTATCTGCTTCAAAGTTGCTCCAAATTCCCATTTGCAGTTACAGGTAACTAGCTCTGCATCTCATAAAATGTGTTCCCCCAGAAGAGACCTACGAAAGAAAACAGAACAGACGGCAATTAGAGATTGGAACTGTAATGTTTGCACAGTTTTTCATGTCATTGTTTAGAATCAGTTTTGGCAGTTTTTGCTTTAAATTAAAGTTCACCCTTGTAAATGTTTCTGCCCATTCTGCATCGGTTGTGGCCTAATGAGTATGCATTCTTTATTTTTCCAGTTGTAATAGAGTTACCCCTCCTACCCTTACTGCTTCTCCATTTTGTGGGCATGCTTACACAAGCTCTATGTCTGAGCAGCAGCTATAGCTGTCTAGGGAAATTCATACTGGACAGCGACTTGCTCCCTTGAAATGAGTTGGCTCAGGGATATCTGCACAAGTTGGGTGTGATTCAAAAACATATAAGCATCCGCTAGGTCAGCCATTTATGGCTGGGGTAGTAGCACTTCAATGCCTATTTAAATTCACAAGCTTGGGCAATTCAAACTGTGCATATAAAAAAAAATCCCAAGCAGAGAAGACCTTTACTAAAAACCCCATCTCAAAACATTTACTGGATCCTGAGTGAAAAGCGACTTCTACTTCTGCATACTAAGCTCAGTTTGAATTGTCCATTTTTTTGGCAAGGTTACTTAAAGTAGAACTGAAGCCAAAGCATTTTTTATGGGTTAGAGTAGAGGAGAGTTATAACCCTTGTGAGCTTTTCTGTTTTTGCCATCTATGTCTGTGCTGTTACGCAGTTGTAAAAATATGACACAATGCATAGTCATAGTTAATATTTATATTAATGTGAAGTGAGAATTTACATTCATTTTCCTTAAGCCATGTACGGTATTATAGCAGTCGTATAGCTGGTTATTATACTGCCATCTTGTGGGAATTTTGGTTATTGCACCATGCTTTTCTGAATTCCCTCCCCTTTTGTGTAATGTACCGCCCTTCTTCTCCAACTAGTCGTTTAGTGTCAAAGCTGCCTAAAGCAGGACCACATGTACATGCTAGCTTGGAAACATTACATCCTTGACCTTGAAATACCGTCTGTTAATCATCTACTGCATTCTGTTGTCTGCTGTAACCTGCTGCAAGCAATAAAGCTGTTTGTGGATAAAAAGGTATTTGGTGAGTTCAGCAATCTGATAAGGATTGTCCGCAGTGATTATATCTGCTTATACAGGCCAGGCATAGAGGTCTCAGCAAGAGATAAATTGCTAATACAACAAATGGAGTCAGAACAATGTCCCATTGGAGATATTTCTCTTCACATGCTTTCTGATAGCCACAACAGAAGTTAGGGGAAATCCCTCCAAAGTGAGGAAAATCCCTGGTGATCAGCAGGGCCAATCTTCCCTATTGGAAAATTGCCCATCTATTCCTGTTCTGAAGGCAACCCAAATTTTATTTTATTTTTTCACTTTCAGTGATAAGTGACCAGGAGAAATAAAGAGGATGAATCTCCCTAACGGGGACACAGACAGCAATAAAGAGCTGACAAGTCCACTCTATTCAAAGCATTTTTATTAATTTTTTGCTTCTTCCAAATGAGGATACAGAGGGCAATAAAGAATAAGATAGCAATAAAGTATTCACAGGTTCTAAACCTTAAACCTAAATCCAATGCTAACAAAAGCAACCAGGCAACCCAATCTTTACTATACAATGCTCATCCAAAATCAACTTTTTTAAAAACATATGTATAGCCTACACTTTTTTTAGTTTTGGAAGGAGTAGGGAATAGTTGATGCCCTGTCAGTTTATTTTTTGCTTTGTCTCATCGGGGAGATTTAATTTCTGTGCCGGGAAGACCCAACAGGAAGGGTGAGAGAAAATGTCTACAAAGTGATTGGTCTGTGGCCACCAGAAAAAGTGTCAATATTAGATTTAGGCCCCTTTCCACAGGTGGACCGATTGGGTTAATCTGTCAGTTTCTCAGGAGGACCTGATTTGATTCCCAATGCTAGCCTATCCGCAGCTGGGTCTAAATGGACAGACATCTTAGTTCCGGTCAGGTCAGAACAAATGGTTCAGAGTTCCATTTTTCTGGACCTGATCGTCCCGGATTGGGGTAATCTGATACATGTCCATTTCCATCCAACTCCCCATAGACCGACATTGGTTCCAGCAGTTTTAGTACTTTCCTCCAACACTTGACAGACATGTATGTCACAATGATGACATCAAATCTACACTGCTTCTATCAGCCGGTGTGAAAGGAGCTGTACCCTCCCTTCTTGTTCCAGGACACTTAAAGAAAAGGAATATACACACAGGCATTAATTAAAAAAAAAAAAACAGCCAGGGGTTATTATCTTTCCCTACCCTATCTATGACAAGTTTTGGATTCTTTCCGAACAAATTCCCCAAACCCCCCACCGGTCGGATGTGGTTATAATAATTTCCACTCACTGTGACCTTGTGAGCCAGAGGCCCTTCACAATTACACTGTTGTATAAGGGCTTGTTAAGTGCTTTTAAGGGCTTTGCTGTCATGATGGCTGCTTATGAAAGCGGGAATGTAAATTAACTAGATCATTGATCGTACCACGCACTTAATAATCCCTAATTAATATGGAGATAACAGAGATACTCGAATATGATGACACATAAACCATCTGTGTATCTGGATGACCTATTTAATGCTGTTGCTCTGAATGGAAGTGTATAGACCCAAGGTCTGCAAGAGGAACTCCTGGTATATGTATAATTATTTAAAGGATATGTAAAACATATCTAGTTTTGCTTTATTCCATACAAACTAAGCTAAACTGAGTGGCTGTAAAATCCAAATCCAGGCACAGCGCCGCCCCGATAACTTGTGGTCCCTACTGGGAATTTTTTTTTTATGTTAAGTCACACCTTAAGCTTTGCAATCAGCAAAGGTCATGCTGCCAGATGATTTGAGAGTTCTGGCTCAGCAGGGGGTTTGCCAGACCTCTGCAGAGAGTCCACTGCTTCCACACAGAGAGCAGCATGATGGAAGGGGACAGGCTTTTCTACACATGCTGTAGCTGCTCTTTAAAGGAAGTGAACTGTAAGCCTGCACCTGGAACATATTTATCTGATTAAAACTGAAAGTTCAATTGGGCTTTAACCAGGAGCGCTCCGAGGCTGGGTGAAACCCGGAGCAGAGACCGGGTGACACCCCGCCGTGACGTCATTGTGCATGCGTGTGACATTGCCACGCGCATGCGCAGTCGTCTCATTGACGCCTGCCAGCGGCCATCTTCATGATGGACGCCGGCAGAGAGAGGAGGGGACGTTCACCCGGCGGGATGAGGTATGCCGCCGGGTCCCCTCCTCTCTTTTGACACTGTCGGGCTCTCGGTCTGGGAACCGGGTGCCCGATGTTTCATAGGGCCTCTCCACCCCTCCAATGGTGGCACCCAGGTGCGGGCCGCACCCCCCTTGTAACGCTACTGGCTTTAACTAGCATTTTTACCAACTATGGTAGCCTCTGTAGAATTACTTTAACACCAATCCCTCTAAATGACCATACCTGGGTAAGCCACACCCAGTTTCAGCTAGTCCCTCCCCTTTCTGAATCCCTGGAAAATCCACACTGACCCAAAGACATTATAACGATAATTTGTAATGCGTCCATAAATAGTTTTATTTGCAGACACACACAAGACCTTTGCTGGCTCTACAAAAAAAAAAAACAAGTTAATGGCCATTTAGTACCAAATCTCTAAAGGACCAATTACTGTGACTGGAGCCTTTAGAGTTAATTAGGACACATTTTAATTGGCCTTATGCTTTCATATTTTTCTGTAGTAGTCAAAACAATGATAATTAGACTGAGCTAGGCATTATGTTCGGATAATAGTTGTTTACCATTGTAAAAGTGGAATAATTGCCATTCATATCTAAGTGTAGACGAAACTTTTAAGGTTATGCTGGTTATTATATTAATGGATTCCGGCTGTGCTATAATTAAGAGCCTTAAAGGAAAACTCCCAGCAAGATAAAATTGCTTGTAAATGTATGTTAAAGAACACCAGTTGTCATTAATTGGTAGTACAATACCATTGCGCTTTCCTTTGTCATAGTAAAATTAACCTGTCATAAACATCAGCTATTCAGACCGAGTATATAATATGAATAATACAAACGTTAAAAAAATGCATTACAAAAGTAGATCCAGTGATATAGCTTACTGAATTGAATTGCAAATCTTGACTTTCCCGTAAAAGTCAAGCCTGGTCCCACCCTTTTTGCTTATTGATATGAACAAATCAATTGGCACAATTTAAACTGCGCAGGGAGTCTGGCCACTTTTCTTCCTGAGATAGGGATCACAGAGAAACTGGAGAATCCATTGTGCTTACTGCATTGCTAGAAATGGCCTGGACCAAGCCTAAAATACAATTTACAGCTGCACAGTGGCAGTGCTCACACACTTCTCCCCTTTCCCAAATTTCTTCTAACATGGAAGGACCCAATGGGGTCTTCACCCATTCAGGGTAAAGAATAAGTTCCTTTACCTTCCCACCTGCCACTCACCCCATGTCGCCTTGAGATGCCATTGATTGAAGAACAAAACTAGGCAATTATGGACATGGAGGATCATGTGACTTAATTCATGCCCCATGTAACCTTGGTGAGTGGCCCAGCACTTTTACAAGGGGGCAGGAGAGAATCTGCCCCTTGTGCTCCAAGACCCAACAGTGCTTAATTTCTAGTAGCTGAAGACAGCAGCAGGGGGTTAAAGAGAAGCTGACTATGCGCAGCCAGGAACAAGTGAGTTAAGTGAACCTGTTGCTTTGCCCTGTATGGGAAAAACACACGTTCACTTCAAAGTTTATTTCCACTTTTGCAATCAAATTTGAGAAAACTACATTATATTTTTTAGGGATGCACTGATACCAATATTAGTATCGGTATCGGTGCAGATACTGAGTATTTGGGCGAGTACTTGTACTCGCCCAAATGCTCCGGTACCTTCCCCTATACTAGAACTTCCAGTCAGAGGAAGATTTCCTCTTAACCGGCAGTGCCGTAGGGGAATATGGAGCCAGCTTCCCAGGCAATC